CCTCCACGCCCCCCCCCCCTCCTCCTCCTCTACCTCCAATTGGTGTAATTTACCACCCTCCGCATTTGGACACATCCATACGGTTAATAAAAGAGGCCAAGGATAAAAAATAAATGCCAAAATTGGAGGGCAAAGTGATCGTCGAATGCGTGAAAAGAGTGAAGGGCAGCCAAAAGCGCTTCATGAACTATTACCAAGAGCACTAATGGCACATACTTGAAAGGTGAGGCAGAGAGGGAGAGAGAGAGAGAGAAAAAAGCGTACAACTACCAGCAGTATTTGGCAAAATAGTTTGCAGCAGTCTATTACATTTACGACAGAAAGCCCCACTACCTTCCCGTCGCAACCGCCACGTCTTTTCCACTCAAGTTAACCACAGTTTGGAAGAAGTTTTTTAGGAAAGTGAAAACGCCAGAGCCAAATGTGAGCGCAAATGCTTAAGTGAGGTGTTAACTTTTCCTCGCAAACCCACCGAACTCTCATTGGCTTTCAGCATTTAGAAAATATATGTAAAAAGCATGTGTGGGATAATACTACAAGCGGTGCTAGAAAACACTTCAAACACCTTTCACCTTTAAAACATCTAAGGGAGGCAGATACTTTAGCGACTTCCATGCAAAAGCTACTTAGTTGAGGAATTTTTAGGGATTAGGAGGTGAGTCATAGATGGGAGAGTTTAATAGGTATAAAATAAAAATGCAGCTTAAAAGTACATTTTTGACAAATCGGAAGGATGTACGAATGACCTTGGGAAAATCGTCAACAATGGGTAAGTTACAAGCCCACTGAAACCATTCACGTTAGAAGTGGAAAGATCTAAGCTCACAGGTGCACATTCAGCAACCGCGGCTTTTGGGCAACAAGAGTGGTTGAGTGGTGAATTTGCAAAAAAAAAAGCGATAGCAACATTATAAACGCTTCCCATAACAAGAATGGCTACTATATAGTTGATTTAAAAAATTATGTGAACTTGATTTAGCACGCTCAGATCATAGAGGGAGAGAGGGGGGGAGGGAGGGAGGGAGAGAGAATGAATACTTCACTCAATCATAAATATTCACACCCGAAATTTGGAATCTTAAAATTTATCCAAAAAAAAACAGAAGTTATCAATGGCATATTAAATAATAGGGCTAAATTGACATCAAAATTTAAAACAAAAACTAACCTTAAGGCAGACACTGTTGACAATTTCTGTAATGAGAAAGGTGGAGGTTTGCACAATGTTGCCCAATGCCCAAAGGGGCCATTGAATTAAGACGAAGCTCCATAGAAATCGGCCTACAAAGAAAGGATCAAACAGTGACCGACAAATTAATAGAACAAGGTGGTGATTAACTTGTTCTCTTAGGAAACAGACCTTCCCACCTCCAATACAATGTGGCTGTTTGAGGAATAACAGGGACGAATAGTTGGGCGTAGTGAAAGGGGTATTAATGTGATTAACACTGCAAGGTTTCAAAGGGGGTAATCTTGCTTTTTTTAGGAAATTTATTGAAAAATCCGCTTGATTTTTCCTTTATTAAGAGTTCCGAAAAAAAGACATTAAGAATATTAACTTTTACTATTCAAGATTGTCCAATTCATAATGGCCTTGGTCGAAAACAGAATTTGGTCTCAAGAGCGCGTTAGAATCAATTTATTTGCTGACTTACTTCAGTGTATAGGGTTGGTTATTCTTAGTAAAAATATACCTTAATAGCAGAATAGCCGAATTAACAAACGGATATATCCATAAGACAGCCAGCATATGCAGTCACCATCTATTCAAATGAGCACCTGATGAAATAAGATAAGGTAAAAATAATTTGCTATGAGGGTATTCTCTTCGTTGGATAGAACACGGTGAAAAAAAAACTAGCAAAGCACAAAGCAAAGCATGCTACTAACGCAAGCTCTGTCCAAATCGAGGTTAGTAGCGCGATGTATCAGTAGCGAAATGGATCGATGTTTGGTGCTGTGGCAGCTGAACTACCAGCAATTTCACCAGTGGTAGCACGATTTCTAAATCTATTGACCACGTAACAAGGGAGAAAATGGCAATGAATATGTGGATGGATAGCCTTAATGAGAGTGCTTCTAAAATCTATTGAAATCTTTATGAAGGCAGCCCTTTAAGTAAGCCGGCTCTGTTGAAAGAGAGTAAATCCATAGATGCAAATTACTGGTTGTTTATATCATGAAGAAATATGAGGAAGGGTACATTTCATTCACTTAGTTAAACCCACAAAGCATCGTGTGGAGGGGAGGGGAGGGGAGGGGGAGGAAGAACATTTAAAAAGTGCAGACACGAATCATAGGAGTACTCAATCGCCCAAACACTGTCGAGACATACAATCACTTAGATTTGTGGGAATAGCAATTGACTTAGAACAAATCCTACTATTTCTGCAAATAGAAGACAAAAATATAAAATGTGGTCAGTTAGACTTACCTATTGAAGTGTCTAAAAGGCGATTGCTGATATACAAAAAAGTGGCCATAACCTAAAATGAAAAGGAGCATAGTCCATGAACAATGCTACGTCAACGAAGACAGCAATATGGTTATCGTTCTACACTCTAAGAAGCTGAAAGAATAAGGTATAGACCCTTCGGTGTCAAATAGGTACAAAGGGATATCAGATGGTAAAATGATAAAAATATTTCCAAGATTCAATTAGGGAAGCCTATAACGACGCACATCTTGGACAAAGCTTAGTATCGTGGAGCCTCTATTGTGAAATGCTGAAATTCTGGCATCCCTGTAACTAGTCAGATTAGGTAAGTGTGATTGGCTACTCCGCTTACAGTGACATTGACCTCATGAGAGCAGACTTCGTAAAACAAACACGTTAAAGACTGCGACACTAGTGCTCATGTTAGATGAAATAATCAACTACTCATTGTAACAAACCAGTCAATAAGCTCTGAACATTGCAAACAATGTGATTCAACGTGGTAATTAAGAACCAAAAGACATTCGCAATGAAGTTGTGTATCTAATAACAAAGCTCTAAAACTTGTGTGAAGGCACATCTTCCGGTACTGGCACTTTAATCACAGTTCATAAATGACCAGATCTCTAAATTGTACTGGTGTCACTTTCCAATCTGCTCTCATTAAAATACAATTTACTACACGCTCTTTCAAGGAGGAATCTATCACCAGACCGCAGACAATTCAAAGCCAAGTCATCCAGGTGGAGAAAAGGGGATAGAAAACTAAACAGGAATTGTATATTGCTAAAAAGTGAGCGAAAACAGTCCGCCAACTTATTAAACTTGAGACTAAGTCCTAGTTGCCTATTAACTTAGCTCTTATCCTTTCCAATCTACCTATGACTCAGCCCCTGCTGGTAATGAATTTCCCACAATTATCTAACTCTTTCCATTGAACCTACATTCTTCCTACATACGTGCATAAATCCCTAAATACCTAATTTCCAAGTCCAACGCCCATATCGGGTGAAGGAGAAGTTGCCTAGAGTCAACTAGATGAGAAACACGATTTCGTTCAATCCCTTTATTAGCCAGACTTAAAGCTACTTCAGTTGACCGTATCGCAAACAAATATGCACCAATAGGCAACGAACCGGCGAATTCTAACGTTGTAGATTACCACCGAGTTGTCAGGGCTTCTTGAAAAGTACAGAATTCTATCAGATAATGTGTACCTTCGATAGTTTTCAGCGATCTGTACATTGACATGACTTATCACCACATTTTCAATAAATCAAATGGTTTCCAAACTTCAATAATTTGATAAATTTGGAAAAGTTTGTAAGGGACGACTTTTTAATCGCCCTACAAATTCGAGTAAGGAAGGTATGAACTGGGTACCTTTCATTCAAATTAATAAGCTTGAATTATGTTGAAAATAAGAATGTGCTTTCAATTTCTTGCCAATATTGTAGTTAAGCATATTTATACATTATGAAAAGCAAAAAATAATAGAAAACTCACTAAAACCACCACCAAATTGATAAACCAAATCCAACAAAGAGCGCATAAAACGTCTTTTGAGGAAGAAGGAGAATTATTGGGAGGATTCGGATGAGTGACAGCCGGAGGTTTCTTACCCATAGCTTCGGAAACCTTCCGGCGGAGGAGAGCTTGGTCATAGTAGCCCTGAGTCGGGGAATCCGTAATGGAACCACGACGATTCCTTGACGAAGACATCTTCAACAGCTTTCTACGGATTAGAATTAGGCTCAGAGGTGCATTAAGACACTCTCGCAAACCGAATAATAAACCTTCCTTGAACGCTGACATTTCATTGGCTATGAAAAGGAGAAATAATGCTACTTACAAACAAGAAAAACCTATAAGTAGTATGTAATCACATACACCTCAAACGCACACAATAGAAGATAAGCAGAAGAAGTGCTTGCAAATAGTCTATTTATATTTATCTTTCTGTACAAAATTAAGTAGAAAGAGACCAATAGTGAATGCAAGTATATATATATATATATATATAT